ACTTTAAAAGGCTTTTTTTTTTGCCCGACAGACACCGAAAAAGCGCCATTTTCTAATGTTTCATTTTCTAGTTTTACATGTAAGAGCGCATTCCACCACTAGGAGGCGACAAAGGCAAATATACTGCAAGGAACGTGAGTGTTTGCAGTTTTGTACTTAACACATTAATCTGCCAGATTGATGTAATTCCCAGCGACATTACAGGATATACTAACTGTATTTTACAGGAAGAAACTACCAAATAATTTTACATCAAACTTGGGGCTTCATGGCACTGACCTAAGACATAGGGATGATTTAAAAGAATATGGTGACAAACATCTCATATGAAAGGCATAATTTTACAACCTAACACTTTATTATGATATTATAATATATAATTATAATATTATAATATGAAGTTGTTCATTGTTATGCTAAACATAATAATAATAATAAATGTAATTTGTTATTATTATTATTATTTCTCAGAAAGTGCATGAAAATTGATTTTTATAGTCATTTAAAAAATATTATATTTGATTTTATATTGTATTTGATTTTTTCAACATCAAGTGAGTATTATGAGCACTAAATATTAGTGCATATTTTACAAGAATGTAGAGAAGTCAAGCAAAATCTACAATTAATGAAAAAAAAGTAATATAATATTAATAATAATAATATTAGTTACACTAATATAATATAAAAATAAAAACTAACATTTTGAAAACACAAGTTGGTGAAAACGACTTCACGGGAGTGAAAAAAACTGTAGCATTTTGCAAGCCAGAAAATCATTTTTGAGAAGGACCCAGTAAGGTCACACCTTCCCAAACCTGTAACACCTCAAACCCCATGACTCCTCCACCGGGGTCCCTGTGCCAAACCTGCTTCTGTTTTGCTGAATGAAGCAGCCCAATTCACTGGTGCAGGAAAACAGAGGAGCTCAAGAGGAAAATCTGCAGTGCAATGCAACAGCAAGGTTTCAATGATCACATCTTCACAATTCACTATTCAGTTTTCTTATTACGCAGCTTTCTGAAAAAATTAATTCTGTGATCAAATATATTTTGTAATGTGGCATGTGATGGTATCAAATGCTTATACCATGTTCATTTCCCCCCATCATATTCATATATTATAGAATTAAAAATGCTGATTCAATGTACTTCAAGAATTACCACATTACTATAGCCAAAAAAAAAACATGGTACAACCAATAGAAAAACATGACATTACCTCATACCATATAAAAATATAATAATACCAAGGGATATGTAAAATACTTGTTATTACCATGGTAACCCTTGTGAAAAATAAGTGCACTTAACTGCATTAAATGTCCACTTATAGTGTATTTCAAGTCTTAAAAAACATTTTAAACAACTGTGCTGTAATGAAGTAAGTACACTTAAGTGTAGGCTACTTAAATTAAACTTTCATAACTATGTTTAACACACTTAAGTACACTTTTAACACTCTGTAATAATGTCAACTTAAAATATTTACTTTAAAATACATTTTAAATAATGTTTTAATATGTTGTCACACTTTAAAGAAGTAGGGGGGACCGGGGGCAATTGTAACAGGGCAATTGTAACTCTGACTTCTTGCATTTAATTTAATATCTTGTCCTTATTAGTGAAAATATATGAATTGTATTATTAATTAGTGCACCTGTATTTGTTTTTTTTTAAATCAAAAGATGACTAGTGTATTTAAAGTGGTCTGTGAGTTATGAAAGAAAATGTACAAAAAAATGATACAATTGCCCCCGGTCTCCACTACACTTATTTTGATGTGTTAACAAACATACTAAAGCACATGTACTTGATTATAATTTCAACTGTGTGTTATTTGATATTACATTTAAAGTTAACATATTTTAAATGTACTAATGACAACTAATTCATTACAAAGGTGTAAATACAACTATATTTAAATAAATGGCAAGTTAAGATAAAAATGACTAATGAATATTTTTGTTTACCTTAAGTTGTCATTACATTCGGCATTACACTTTAACCATATTTCAACGCAATTCTGAAATTACATATAAAGATGTAGCTACTTCAGTTCTACTTGGGCCAAAAACGCAGTTCAACTAACTGCATTTAATATCAATTTTACCTATAATTTAATAGCAAACATGCAATTAAGTGTCAAAACATTACATTTAGTTCGCATTTAAGATATCCTTTCAAGGTATAGGGAAAAACTAAAGGGAAAAATCTAAAAATGCTAATTCCATGTTGCCTATTCTAGTGACTCCCCTGTCCACCAGTCTTTGTCTTTGACCTTGTGTGGTTTCTCTCCCTCCCATTGACTCTAATCAAATGTGAGACCTGCCATCTCTGGCTCTCCACAGGTGCAGTTCACACTCAATGCTAATAAAGAGCCTCACTCCTGCCCCCTGCAGGCTGATACGCACCTGCCCCCTCTGCATTAACTCACTCTCGCCCCCTGCATGTTGACTCAAACCCTACATCTCCCGTGAACCACATACAGTAGATCTTCTCCCGACATAACCACAAAACTGGTCCAATGAAACATCACATCTTAATGTGTTGAATCCAAAAGACTGGGAAGATTTTTAGTGAATAATGGTTTAAATATTCGCACAAAGCTATCGTGTGGCTTCAAAAGACGCAGGCTATAGAACATGAGTCATATGGACTTCTTTTATGATATATATTTTTGCTAGAATCACAGTTGTGCCGAAATCTGTGACTACAGGTCGTTTTCCATCAGATGTTCATGCTAGAACGTGCCTGGTGTTCGTGCATCTTATCAAAGTCTTTGATATTATCGGTGAAGTGCTGTGGAGAAACTGCCATGTTGAGTGAGCGGTGCTGTAAAACAGGTTCATTTACTTAATCTTTTTAGACAAGCTGCACGAGTGCTATTGCTATATTTCATTCATAATGGCTTTAATGGTACCCATACTCTTTCTGGTGATGACTAAGCTCTATTTTATATCCTAGAAAGCGTTTTGGTTTGATAGGAACAGACACAGATATAGCAGGGCCCATTGACGGAGGGTGAACCAACTCCAGGGTAAGGCTAAAAGCAGCCAAATCTATTAAACATCATAAACCCGTCTTTTTAGGCAAGAACCAGACATGGGTGTCATGTAGGCTAAACAAAATGTTTAATGGGACTGAATTTGTATTTAACGTTATTACAATTTAATAGAAATTGATAATTATATAACGTTTCCTTTCCACTGTTATTGAAACAGCGAATAAATTATATTTAGAAAGTGACATTATCACTAACATTGATCTATCGCGAGTTTAAGCACTTTTAAAAAAACAAAATTACTGTTATAATCACTGAAGCTTTTTTCTACACTGTGAAATTAATCTCTTACATTGTAGGTACATCTGCGCTTTGTTGTTTATGATGAGAGAATTCGCAAGAGTCCGGAATTCAGTCAGCGAACGCGCGCGCACTCAACAAAACTGATGAGTTTGAACGATGACTCATCTCAACGCTTTTGATTGGCCATTGCATTCCTAAGCTCAACAGAATTGTGTGTGATTGGTTAAAATGCGCAACACTGTAAAAACGCCTAAAATGAAATACGGTGCAATATGAGCAGATCTTAATTTTCACTTTGTTTGCAACAGACGTAATAGATTTAATTTGTTTGTGCAGGGACATTTTTGTCCAATTTAGTGGCATTTTTGCCACAAGTCCCCGTGGCCACGCTCCGCCTATGGCAGGGCCATCAAATCCCTAAAGGCAGCATGACAGGTTACCAGCATTCTTTACCATTTATTTCACTCAGAAGATGTTCAATGTTACCCAAATTCACTCTGGTGATGTCTGACGTCCTTTTATTTTATATCTTAAAAAGCATGTGAACAGCTGCAGATTTACAGCAGGGCCACCAAATCTGACAAGAAAGCATAACAGGTCACCGAAATCCGTTGTCTGATGTCTAACCTTCTCTATTTTATTTCCTAGAACACATTTTGGTCTAATGTAATGGTCTGTTTGTAACTCTAGAATGATTTTGTTCTGACGTGAACAGACACAGAGATACAGCAAGGTCACCAAATCTGACGAGGCAGTATTAAATACATACAGTGGGTACGGAAAGTATTCAGACCCCCTTAAATATATGGGGTGCTGTGTGTACATTAATGAGGAAAAAAAATTAACTTAAATGATTTTAGCAAATGGCTGCAATATAACAAAGAGTGAAAAATTTAAGGGGGTCTGAATACTTTCCGTACCCACTGTATCTTAAAAATATACGGTTTAAATTGTTTTAAAGATTTATGCTAATATGCTTCTCAAGTAAATGTAGCTTTCAAGGATACTTTTTTAATGATTTTTATTTATGCAAACTTTTTTTGTATTTTGTAAACATCAGCGGATTTGAAAATTGTGATTACACTGAAATTCATAAAAGAAAAAAAAGAGAAAAGCAACTGTAGAGCATGGCGTAAGCAATGATGATGGCTTTGAAAAGGTAAACACAAAGCAGTACAAATGAATGCATTGTAAGTTATTTTGGATAAAGCCTTTGTCAAAGGTGTACATCTTTATAAATGTATGTTTCTCAACGTGTTTTTACACCTGTGAATGTGTAGCTGCTAGCACAAACCCAGTCACGTCAAAGTTGATTTATTATCATTTGTCTTCTTTGCAGAAGGTAAAGAAACCAAATACAGTGTCTCCAGGAGCCACAGGGCATGTACATTTTGAGTATAAACAGAATATGGGTTTCAGGCCTGACGTCATCGTAACCTGTTTGCATATGTCCTTCTGTGTACACTACACTTGTACACAGTTGATGCCTGGTAACAATAGATAACTAAAGCAAACAGAGTTGCTTAAGAACCTGAGATTTTTTGTCTGTACATCTTGAGGTAAGTGAACATTACCTGTAGATGTGGCTTTGTACAGATACAGTGATAGAGATTTGATATATACAGTAAATCAGCTGAGCTCCAGGAATGACTGCTGTTGACATTGTCATCTCTTTTTTCAGTGAAACTGGGTGTGTCTGTTTCAGATTTAAATCAACTGCATTCAAGCACAGTCTTGCATGAACCCTAACAGATGGATCGTGGGCTCATGTGCCCCAAAAGTAATCTTTCGGATAGACGGGCCACCTTGTTTGCCGTGTCAGTGTGACGTCAAATCCTCACGAGATCTGCAGTCATATGCAAAGCAGACAGGCTCAATGGGTTTCGACTGCATGGAGATGTAATAGATGGCTTCCCTCTCTCTCTTTGATAACATGACTGGAAGCCAGCTGGACTTTGAACTCTGTAGGCTGACAGGTGATACAGGTGATCTGACGAAGAAAGACTTGGGAGTGTTTCTTGAATTTACTGGATTAATGGAATTTCATGAGGTAAGTTGATGTTCAAGCTCTTATTATAATAACGTTTCAGTTCACTGTCACAAAAGGAGCATACGTATTAAAATCTGAAAGCTGGTACCTGTCTTACCAGCTGTGTACTGAACAGTGTAGTAGTGTAGACAATATAGTGTATACTCATGATAAAATAGCATATATCATTTGATCAAATAAATGCAGCCTTTGTAAGCATCAGTGTTATTTAAGTGTAACTGGTATACTATTAGAGGTTTTATACATATTTTGAATTAGTTTATTACACATACATATATATGCTATTTTATCATATACAGTATATGGTCACATGATCTACCCCCAAAATATTTTTAAAAAGAGATGAATACTTTTATAAGACATTTATAAACGTTATAAAAGACATTTAGAATATTGCAGAATATTTCCATTTCAATCAGAATATTCAATAACAAAACCAGCATTTACTATTAAAATAGAAAACCGTTCTTTTAAATTGCAATAATATTTTACTGTATTACTGTATTTACTGTAATACTGTATTTTTGATCAAATGAATGCAGCCTTTGTAAGCATCAGTGTTATTTAAGTGTAACTGGTATACTATTATAGTTTTTATAAATATTTTGAATCGGTTTTTATTTTCCATTTTCCTTTTCATTTTAGTAAGAGTTGAGTACGTTTGTTGTGTATTTTTTTTTAGTTGTTTTTTTTTTACCCCCAAATACATTTCTATAGTTTTTATACATTTTATTTCAGTTTCAGCTTTAGTTATTTTAGTACTTAAAGTTAAACTAAAAGAAAATGAGAAATGATTGCTTGGCAACTATTAAGTGAGTATTTTTTATATTTTCTTTTATTTCAGTTAAAGTTTATATTATTTAAAGTAACTTTTTTATGGTTTTAGTTTTAGTTAAAAATAAAATCTTCTTTCAAAAACATAAAAAAAAAAAACCTTTTGACTGGCAGTTTCTATATAATTCTTTCAATACTGAAGTTCATAGCGTGACCCAAACATTTTGGGTAATATTAGTAATGTTTTGAGCAGAAAATCTTAATAATAACTTTGATTATCAAATAGAAATAGTTTCAGTGACTGGAATGTTTGGAAGCATGCTACAAATTAGTGTTTAGCTAACAAGACAATGTGGAGCACAAAACCAGTCATTAACGTAGTAGAATGAAGCAGGGTGAGGCTGAAAGCTGTCGAAACGAAACGAGGCCGCTGAACGAGTGCGCCACACGGCTCGAAAGCAGCGGAGCTTTTATTATGCCACAGTCGACCGCTTCCGCTCCTTCCGGTCGTGCGTATGTGGGGGAAAAAAAGCAGCACTGTTTTATCATACTAGAATCTAGTAACTAGATACAGTTGTATCTCGGCCAAATATTGTCCTATCCTAACAAACCATACATCAATGGAAAGCTTATTTATTCCGCTTTCAAACTATGCAGAAATCTCAATTTCGAAAAATTGACACTTAAGACTGGTTTTGTGGTCCAAGGTCACATATGTGCACACAGTCTTCATGTCAAAGACATACCTACAAAAACAAAAGTGGAATTCCTGATGCTTGAAGACAATCGACTGTACATCCTGATCATTTCAGGGTTGTGTCCTATCAGTTGCCCTGCCTGTTTCATAATGGTGTGCATTTATTTTCTAGGGCTGTGGATGCTGGTGTAACGGTAACTGAGGAAACATGTTTGGTTTTAGACTCAGTCTTATTCTTCTGATCACTACGGGTGAGTTTTCATATTCACTTTATCAGGGTGCCCACAACACACTCACACGTTAAAAAAAATAATTTCGTAGCAGTCAGTATTTTTGTTTTGTTTTCCAGTAAAAATATCTAAATATCTTTAAAACAAGACACATTGGCTTGATTGTTTCACCCACTGAAAATTATTTTTCTTTTTCTTTAATAATAAACGTAACAAAATGTATTCTAAAATTAAATTAATTGAAAACAAGTCTCGGATGGATGAATGATTAAGTACAAGTTTTTTGGAGTGTGGAAGTATCCGAAAATTTTAAAATTGTGATTTGCAGGCTTGGAAAAGTCACTGGAAGTAATGCAATATTACAAAGTAATGAACATTTCTATGGGAATATAGACCGGGGCAAGCGGTCACACTGTGTCAGAGTAGGTTTATATATGATTTTGTCACATTATATGTTGAGACCGCCCTCTAATGAAATGAGATGATGAAACCTGCCATTAAAAAGCAAATAAAAACAAGTATTGTAATTAATAACTTGTGTAAATTTGTAAAATGTAAAACGTGTGGCAAGTTTTGGTAATTTTTTTCTATCTATCTATCTATCTATCTATCTATCTATCTATCTATCTATGATGTATTCATTTTATTTATTCATTAATTGTATCTTTGATGTTTTTAAATGGCACAATAGCTTGATTAATTACAAAAATTAAATTACAAAAAATACAAAAAATAAAAATACATTTAAAAAAAATATTAAAAATATATTTATATTTCTCCTTAAATTGATTCCAAAATAAATAGATAATAAATCAAAAGTCAAAATAAAAACAAGTATTGTAATTAATAACTTGTGTAAATTTGTAAAATGTAAAACGTGTGGCAACTTGTCATTTAAGAAAAGCACAATAATATCATGATACTTTATTTAGCTTCATTTATTTAGTTCATTTCAGATTGAAGGACAAATTTCACAAACATTCACTGCTAGAACAAAAACACACACAAAACCCACAAATTTGTATAATTAATTATTGACTTATCACTCAAAATCTCATATTTACTGAGATATAGCCACTGTGACAACTAGCCCCGGTCTGTATATTATCTAGTTTTGCTCAGCTCCAAGTTAATGCTCTTTTATTTTATTTTTAAAAGAGGGGGAAAAAAAGCATAAAATATACCAATAATTACCCTTAATGCTCATTTCATTTAAATATGATTTATGATGAGAAGAAAAACAATAAAACATGCCTTGAATAACAGGATCTAAACAAAACCAACTCCGTGGAAGTGTTTGGAATCATTTGTTACTTGTGTGTCGTTCACTGCAGTGGCCTCCGCTCAGGTGCAGCTACAGCCTCTAAATGCAGCGGTGCTCCGTGGTTCGCAGGCTCGGTTCAACTGCAGCACAACTCAGCCGCCATTTGTCATGAACTGGATGGTCAATGGACGCTTGGTTATCACCATTCTGGAAGCATCTGGGGTGTTGAACAGCACAGATCGCTTTTCTGCCAAAAATTTCACCACGCCTGGAGAGTACAAATGGGAGTTTATAATTAGCAATGTGCAGAGAGACGATGCGGGGGAAGTCACCTGTCAGGTTTTGGGTGGAGAGCCTCGATTGGCCACACTGTCTGTACAAGGCAAGCAGTGTTTTAAGTTCTATTGTGACTCATTTGAACTGATCCATGCCACACATGACGTAAAATGTTTTGACTATAGAGATATGACTGAGAGTGAAATATGAGAGTATACGAGAGAAATTGATCAAGACAGAGCAGCTACAGATAATTAAAGCAGACCATTTAAAAAATATATATTTAAAGACAGACCGTTCAAAAGTTTGGGGTCAGAAATGAATACTTTTATGAAACAAGGATGCAAACTGATTAAAAGTGATTTCTATTTCAAATAAATGCTGCTTTGGAACTTTCTGTTTATCAAAGAATCCTGAAAAATGTTTTCAACATTGATAATATTCGAATTAACTTTAAATGATTTAAAAATATAAAATAGTTAATTGAACTTGTAAAAATATTTCACAATATTACTGCTTTTACGACATTTTTGAACAACTTAAACACAGCCTTTGTGAGCATACGAGACTTATTTGAAAAACATTTTAAAAATGTACTGACCCTGAACTTCAAGAAAGAAAATTGAAAGTTTATTTGCATGGGGACTGCTGAATCTCTTTGAACTGTATGATCCAGTCTTTTTAAGAACATTAAACAAGACTTTAAGTAAACAATTAAAAGCAGACAAACACAAAAGCATGATTTGATCTCCCTTAAGCTTTATAATTAATGTTATTTTTATTTGCTTCTCAGATGCAAAGCTGCAACCTTAATGATATTTGTCATGGTTTGAATGTTAAATAACACTCTTCAACAGCACCTACCTTCTTGCTTCAGGCTTCATCTTTGAGCCTAAGTGAGTTGCAGCACCTAAATCCATATGCTGATCTTTACAACCTTTAAACATTACTCAGCAGTTTTATGCATGACAGAGTGTAAAATTCGGCTAGAACATTCCCAGATGCCCTCATCAGCACTAAAATAACCTTTGTGGATCAAATAAATATATATCAACTAAATAACAGGAGTTATTGTTTCTCCTAGACAACGAAATTAAAACGTGACCAAATGGAGACTCCCTAATAATTTCACATTTCAAGAGATCTCAACAATATTCCAAACTGTGCTCAGACTTGCCATGATACATAAAGTCAAACATCTTAAAAGTAACTCAAATATTTCTCACCAAATTCTTCCCAATCCAGATGATATTCAGTATTACTTTCATAGCTATATATTTATCCTTAAACTGATTCCTGAATAAAACAAAATATAACAAAAAATAAAACAAAACTTAACTCCATTAAGTCTCCTGAGCAGTGAAAGAGCAACATTTGAGCAATAACATTTTCTTTAAATGCAAAACAGCTGTTTTGGTAATTTTTTTCTATCTATCTATCTATCTATCTATCTATCTATCTATCTATCTATGATGTATTCATTTTATTTATTCATTAATTGTATCTTTGATGTTTTTAAATGGCACAATAGCTTGATTAATTACAAAAATTAAATTACAAAAAATACAAAAAATAAAAATACATTTAAAAAAAATATTAAAAATATATTTATATTTCTCCTTAAATTGATTCCAAAATAAATAGATAATAAATCAAAAGTCGTTTCGTTTAAACATCTGAACAGTTGCAAGTTAATTTTGCTCATTTTTTGTCAGGTGCATGATCCAGGTTTTTTTTTATTTTTTTTTTTACAAGGTTTACTGTAACTGGAATAGATTATATTGCTTATTTTGCTTGTTTAACTTTCATAATAAATCATTATTATAATAAATTATTATTTTTAATATATTGTGTCAGAATATTCAGTATCAGACATTTCAGCTTTAAAATGTATCAACAGAAGGCCAAAATAACCACAAAATATGGCAGTTTAGCAAGCATGTATATTTAAATAATTTCTTCATTCTTTGATGCACTGTAAGTGAATGGAGTTTTGCCTTATAAGATCTGTCGGCACTTTTATGATGGACCACAAAAAGTACAAAGTGCAGCACAAAGCAAAACAAAACCTATCAGCCACACCTGTGAGTCACCTGTCCTGCTGTCCCATGGGAAATTATCCGATTACATCTCAAAGTGCAGATAATCAATAATAATCTACTTCTTAATTAAAGTGGACCATGTTTCAAGACAGGCCCAACCGTCATTAAAGCAAACTCACAAATCCATAGTGATTAGGGCAGAGTGTGTGTTCGAAGAGATAATTCTGCTCTGTTGTTTCCCAGAACGTGGCAGTGTGGAGATTGTAGGTGAAAATCAGACCAAAACAGAAGGAGCTCAGACGGAGTTCCAGTGCCAGGCCGTGGGCTGGTTTCCTGAACCCAACATGTCCTGGTCTGTAAATGGAGTGGCAAATTTCTGCAACAGAAGCTCTGTAACACAGGGAAATCTGTTTAACTCCAACTGCACGCTGACGATCACTGCCGTCAAAAATTCTTCTGTTCAGTGTCTGGTCAAGGTACCTGCCCTGAGCACACCGGACAGCAGCACTGTCTTTCTGACCGTTGGTAAGAACAATAAACTTGTTTTTATTTTTATGAGTGATCAAAAATGATAAAAGATCACAAATGATAAATTCTATTCCAATGATAAACACAAACAGAATCGGGAATTCTAAACATAGTACAACAAACAGGGTCCTTTTTAATTCCACCCACAAATGAGAAGAGTTCCTTTCGGCAACAGATAGAGGGCACTGCAAACACCAATCCAGCCACATAAAGTTTAATATTATAATCAGAGCTAATTGCAATGATAACTTTGCTGTCCTGTTTGGCACAAGATGAAGAGGATGCATGATTCCTTTATCTGTTTCTGTTCAAGAAAAGCTTGCTAAAAGAGACCAGACGGTGTTGATCGCTATCACTGTGGCCTTCAGCGCTGCGGCTCTATTGTTTCTAATCATCTACGGAATTATTTTCTTCTGCATGAGAAGGAAGAAAAGTGAGTATTTGAGGGGATGAATCCCAACTTTCCCAATGCAAGCTAGATTATTTGCATTAGTGCATCCCACAAAAAATACTTTTTGCAGCCAGACTGCGTTAAGCTACCTGGACCTAGCCAAGCCTCTTAAATTACTGATGTAATTCTGGTCTTAAATTGTAATCAGCTCATTTTATTGTTTCTTTTCTACAGAGTCAAGCTACCAAGAGGAGATCAGGAGGTGAGTAATGAGCTTTTGCATTTAAGAGGGACTGAAAATGCACAGTAATGTGAAATTGAGGAAACAATTTCTTTCACAACCAGCAAAATTGAAACTGTACTTGACAATAATAGGGGCATTTCAAAACTTTAAAGACACAAATAACTGGAAAAAAAGTGTAACTGATTGCATTCAAAATCAAAAATATGAATGGGCATTATGTTTTTGCACAAAAGAAGCCTCATTTTATTTCTTTTACTGACATCTATTCTAATGTAATGATTCAGGAAAGCATGAATGAACTCTCATGATAACTTTGCTGTCCTGTTTGGCACAAGATGAAGAGGATGCATGATTCCTTTATCTGTTTCTGTTCAAGAAAAGCTTGCTAAAAGAGACCAGACGGTGTTGATCGCTATCACTGTGGCCTTCAGCGCTGCGGCTCTATTGTTTCTAATCATCTACGGAATTATTTTCTTCTGCATGAGAAGGAAGAAAAGTGAGTATTTGAGGGGATGAATCCCAACTTTCCCAATGCAAGCTAGATTATTTGCATTAGTGCATCCCACAAAAAATACTTTTTGCAGCCAGACTGCGTTAAGCTACCTGGACCTAGCCAAGCCTCTTAAATTACTGATGTAATTCTGGTCTTAAATTGTAATCAGCTCATTTTATTGTTTCTTTTCTACAGAGTCAAGCTACCAAGAGGAGATCAGGAGGTGAGTAATGAGCTTTTGCATTTAAGAGGGACTGAAAATGCACAGTAATGTGAAATTGAGGAAACAATTTCTTTCACAACCTTTATTACTGTGAGTGGCTTGTTAACAGGTCTGGGCTTCCGTTTCAGGGCACGAATCCAGTCCCAGAATAGGACGCCTGCCACAGAAAACGTGCGAGGACAGGACAACCGAGGATATATTAGAGATGGACATGATGGTGTGTATGCTTAAACTAACATACACAGGGGTATCTCATATATATCTCATGTACTATGAACTTTCATGTGTCTCTCTTTACTGCAGGACACACCAATGGTGGAGTCTGGTACACAAACCATTCTAACAAACATCAGGTGATGCCTCCGATCAAGCTTAAAGTCAACATCAAACCAAAACTTCACCTATTTACTTCCTTAATACACATTCTTGATCTTGTATTAAATGATTCATCAGTACCGACTATTTCAAAGAAAAATTGTCTTCATAATCTTTCGGCAAAATGAAAACCGATCACTTTTTTTTCTCATGTTAAATGTCTCATAATGGAAGTAAAATGGGTTGTAAGCACCTTTCATGTTGAATTGAACATTTCAATACATTTCATAAGCATGAATATTTGTCAAGACTCCAGATCTAATACAAATCTTTGGTTTTTCAGATGCCCCATGGTTTTTTTGATGATGCTCACAGGAAGCACAGACACATGACCATCGTCTAGAGACTAAATGCTAGACTTCACAGACAGAAGGTGTTCTGGTTCTCTTCTTCACTCTTGTACATAAAATCATCATTTTAGGTTTAATTACAGAAGAAAGAGAGCCTGATGGACTTCATATCAGCACTTATGGTGATCTGCTTCACCTCCACTGGATTATTTATTTGAACACAGAAGCATTTTCTTGATGGTCTCAGACTTTTGTGCCCCACTGAATACTGTAGATAATCACCAAGAGTGTGTTTTTGGGCTATAACAGATAAACGTGGTCAAAATGAGGGCGGTCGAGGGGTTGGTAAAGACTTTGGTTTGCTAAACAAACCAATATGACAGAAGTGTTGATTCATTTTTAAATCTTTGCTGGTGCATTATGCATTCATCAGATGCTTGCATTTCCAAAGCAGGTTTGTTTGAATCAACATCTTCTTTTGCTTCCTGTTTTTGTAGCTGCTTACAATTAAACCAAAGATTTTTCTTGAGAAGTGTTTAGAGAAGACTATCTTATGTGACACGTCATGCTTCATGTGCTTAATAAAACCCCCCACTGATCTTTACCTCATCACAGGGGAAAAACTGCTTAAAAGTGTCATGCAATGGGCTAGAACTATGTGATGCTTATTAATACATCAATTAATCAATAATATCACATTTACAAAGACCTTTTGTGTAGTTTTCACTTATCTGTGTTTCACACATTTTAACAGCTCTAAAATCCATTAAATGGATTACAAGCATTTTGAACAAACGTTTTTTTTTATAAACCTAGGTGTAATTAATGAATAAAAAAAATGGATTAACTGTTTTTTTTTTGCATCTTTATAGAATGTTTTACGAAATTATTTGTATCTTTTCTTCTTGTTTTAAGCACAAACCTCACTTTTTATGCTTTAAACAAGAAAAATATTAAGCAATGTATTATAATACATTTTTTATTAATTCAACATATATTTTATTTTGCTACTCATTTTAAGGATATTTGTACATTATATTCTGAAAAAAAAACAACAACCCCAGATTAAGAATTTTTTAGCTATTGTTTTTTTTTGTCAGACAACATATTTATGTGGCCATAAATTCTTATGTAATAAACACTTTTTTGTACTATTGTTTTTTAATTGATCAAAACTCTATCTATCTATCTATCTATCTATCTATCTAATTCAACATATATTTTATTTTGCTACTCATTTTAAGGATATTTGTACATTATATTCTGAAAAAAAAACAACAACCCCAGATTAAGAATTTTTTAGCTATTGTTTTTTTTTGTCAGACAACATATTTATGTGGCCATAAATTCTTATGTAATAAACACTTTTTTGTACTATTGTTTTTTAATTGATCAAAACTCTATCTATCTATCTATCTATCTATCTATCTATCTATCTATCTGTCTGTCTGTCTGTCTGTCTGTCTGTCTGTGTCTAAGTTGACTTCATTATATTGTTTTCAAGATATTTCAAAAATGCTTTAAAGAAGCCACAAAGCTGGAGAAAATTTTAAATCAAAGAACAGACATATAGATAACAGACAGAAATGCCCTGCTGCTCTTTTTCAAGCATTCCTTTAGTAGAACATCTCACTGCAGTGTGTATCTGACATTCTTATCCAAGAGCTCTGCACTCAGTGTGTGTGAATATTAGCCCTCTTTCATCTTTTCCCTTAAAAAATAATGAATGCCCATAAATAAATAAATAAAACACGGTTAATGGCCAGCTGTAGGCTGGCATCTATTCCCCTGTGGCTTGTTATGAGCTGTGGAGTCTTCCTCTTCCTCACGCCTCACTCCACCCAGCTCTGAGCTGACCGAGCAGCTGATATTCTCCCACTCATTACGACCACACCAAAGACACTTCCTGTTATGTAACCAGCACTGTGTACCTCCAAGACACAGATATGGAACATCTCCAGTTTCATTCTAATATGAAGCAAAATATCATGGAGAACCCTGTGGTGATGCCCTGGTATAGTGATGCTATCAGCTGGTAATTTAAAAGAATACCACGGTACTTATATATGGCAATGAATAATTAGCATATAGAATGGTATTTACATGCTACTCCAAGTTAAATACTTATATAAATGTTAATATCAAGGTATATTTATATACAACATGGTATATATTATGTATTAATATAGCATAGCATTTATAAAAAAAGTTAAAAAAAAATTATCTTTTAAGTATCCTATATGGAAGAATAAGCTCTATCTATCTATCTATCTATCTATCTATCTATCTATCACATTTTTTGTATGTAATTAGTGAAACTCTAGATTGAAAAACACCAGAAGATAATTAATGAACTAATAAATCAATTATAGTGGCATTTCTTTCACTGAGACATTGCCAATATTTTTGTCTTACAGTTTTTCTCAGTCGCTTTGGTACATTTCTCAGATCAGAATTGAAATTCGTAATTATGTCCCCACTGGATGCAACAAATGCCTCGCTTGTAATGGGTTTTATTGGTTTTGTCTCGTCGCGCCGGGACATGGCATCACAGTATGGTGAGGGGCGTAACATTTCCGTCACACGCTTGAGGTATTCGGCCAATCACAACGCACTGGATAGCTGGCCAATTAGCGTTCACCTCGCTTTTCAGAACGATGAGCTTTGTAAAAATCGACGCGTTTCAGAAAGGCGGGGCATAAAGGAGCAACAATAATGTACAGTATGTGGAAAATAATGCGTTTTTTGAACCTTAAACTGCATAAACACATTGCATTACACCAAATACACAAAATAATGTTATTTTTAGCAACATCATATGACCCCTTTAAAGAACACGGACCTTCAGAGTTGCCGTCATAAAATATTCAGAGTGTGAGCAGATGTAAAGTTCTCCACAGATCTTGGCACACTATTAACAACCTCTCAGAATAGCTGCTTGATTCAGTTGGTTTGAATGACTGTCTTCTCCTGAAGCAAATGATCATGGATGTGAGAAGCGTAAAGGGCAGCCAGACTCCAGAGTCTATTTGTCCACACAATCTAGTGGGATCTTTTGCTAAAGGCACTCTGGGAGTTAATGAACCACTGTTGTGTTTTGGAAAAAACAGACTTAGCTCTAAAACTGATACACCAAGGTGGTCTTGCCAGAAGATACAGCTTGGTCTCAGGCAACATTTAGGAGCTAATGATTGGAGAGGAAATATTATCACCTTTGCTCACAACCTTGCTTTTAAAGATTTATCACTTTCTCTCAATAAAACATACAGAGAGTAGCAAAACTGTCTGTCCTCTCTATATATACCCCTACAAACTGAAGGAAATGCTTCTGTTGTGGTTGCGTGGTGTATACTCACTTGAGACCCATTTCTGTCTGCCTGTAATTTAAAATAACATGCTATTTTTGTTCTCCAGCCATCCAAGATGTAGATGAGGAGTTTGTTTCTTCATCTTCAAGAAATTTATCATAACATCACTTGCTCACCATTGTATCCTCTGCAGTGAATGGGTGCCGTCAGAATGAGAGTCCAAACAGTTGAGAAAAACATCACAATAATCCACAAGTAATCCACACGACTCCAGTCCATCTATTAACCGTCACTTCTGGCCACCGACATATTTGCTTAGAACTGTTTTTGCTTGTAAACAGTGCTTGAACAGACTACTCTAATCTTAAAACATCTTAATGATGGATTTGTTTCTTAAAAACAGGCAGCTTTTCACTTCAAAAGACATTAATTGATGGACTGGAGTTTTGCAAATTTTGATGACACTCATTCACTGCAGAGGATGTGCATGTATATATTTAAGAAAAATATGTTACGTTTATATATTAAATATATTTATATATGATATAAATGATATGAATATAAATATATACATGTAAATATTTTCAAAATATATGCTGTATGTGTGTGTATTTATATATACATAATAAATATACATAATACACACATATTATGTAAACAAAAACTTTTATTTTGGATGCGATTAATCGCGATTCATCGTTTGGCAGCACTAAAATTAATTATAATAATCAGATTATATATACTGCTGACCTTTTTTTGGTACGTCACCCAAAACGCCAGAATTTGTGACTCTACTGGATAATTAATAATACATTTTTTAATAAATTAAGTGATTTAAGTTCATAAAATGAATTATTTGGCATTCTTGCATTTAGACATTCCCATTATTTTTCTACTCTAAATTCACTGTGGTAATGCTCTAAAATAACTGTCAGAAATCGTCTTGTTCAGTCATAAAATGGCAATTAAAGTCAAACCCTTTTCAAAATCATTTTCACTTCAAGAACATGGACCTTCAAAGTTAATGTTATGAAATATTCAAAGAGTGAGCAGGTGTAAAGTTCTCCATAGATCTTGGCCCACTATTAACAACCTCTCAGAATAGCTGCTTGATTCAGTTGGTTTGAATGACTGTCTTCTCCTGAAGCAAATGATCATGGATGTGAGAAGCGTAAAGGGCAGCCAGACTCCAGAGTCTATTTGTCCACACAATCTAGTGGGATCTTTTGCTAAAGGCACTCTGGGAGTTAATGAACCACTGTTGTGTTTTGGAAAAAACAGACTTAGCTCTAAAACTGATACACCAAGGTGGTCTTGCCAGAAGATACAGCTTGGTCTCAGGCAACATTTAGGAGCTAATGATTGGAGAGGAAATATTATCACCTTTGCTCACAACCTTGCTTTTAAAGATTTATCACTTTCTCTCAATAAAACATACAGAGAGTAGCAAAACTGTCTGTCCTCTCTATATATACCCCTACAAACTGAAGGAAATGCTTCTGTTGTGGTTGCGTGGTGTATACTCACTTGAGACCCATTTCTGTCTGCCTGTAATTTAAAATAACATGCTATTTTTGTTCTCCAGCCATCCAAGATGTAGATGAGGAGTTTGTTTCTTCATCTTCAAGAAATTTATCATAACATCACTTGCTCACCATTGTATCCTCTGCAGTGAATGGGTGCCGTCAGAATGAGAGTCCAAACAGTTGAGAAAAACATCACAATAATCCACAAGTAATCCACACGACTCCAGTCCATCTATTAACCGTCACTTCTGGCCACCGACATATTTGCTTAGAACTGTTTTTGCTTGTAAACAGTGCTTGAACAGACTACTCTAATCTTAAAACATCTTAATGATGGATTTGTTTCTTAAAAACAGGCAGCTTTTCACTTCAAAAGACATTAATTGATGGACTGGAGTTTTGCAAATTTTGATGACACTCATTCATTGCAGAGGATCCATTGGTGAGCAAGTGGTGTAAAGCAAAATTTCTCCAGATCTTGACATTTTCATTTTTGGGCGGACTCTTCCTTTAAGTTTTAACACTGAGCCAAGATATTGCTTTATGTGGTCGAATTTTGACCCATAATGGCGGACTCTCGTCCTAACAATCACTAATGCATCCTAAAGCCCCACCAATCCATTTTCATAAGCTATTTTAGCTCTTGTTAACTGCATTTCGATTTGGTATATAACCAAAATTAATTTATTTGATCAGGTATATTTCAGCTTTTATTTTAGTGGTTCAGTCAAAGTAAAGACTATTTTCTGAATTGCACTGATCTCATTGGCCTGTTTGCGATTAGTATTCATGCAGTGCAGCATTCGTATTAAGAGAGACATAAACCCTATGGTTTCATCTAAATTTCCTAGTCCAATAAACACACAGGCATACTGCAATCAAGATCTTTCTCTCATCAGCATTGAAGATCCATGTACACAGCTCCACCATTTTGCCAATCAATAAATTGCATCACAAGTTAGTGCAAATTAAAATT